AACTGAAAGTGGGCCCCTACAGAGCTCGCCTGGCTGTTAAAAAATGCTCCATGACAAAATGTGGCCAATGTATCAGAGCCTTTGTACTCCCCGGACTTTTTTAACCTAAAATGTTTTCACGTGTTTCTGTATTTTATCTAAGAAAAAGAGTGCATTTGTAAAAATAAGGAGTGGTGTTTTCCAGGTTTGCATTTGATTAATAGTGCGTTTGAGATTCCAGAGATCATACAGTTAGTGAGTTTAAACACGTGGGGGAACTGAGACTCAGAGGTAAAAGGGCTTATCCTGGGTCACAAAGCTTTCTGGTTTCATGTAAATATTTATGGATTTAGGTGTGTATTTACTAGTCTATACTAGTTTATAGTGGTAAATAATCCCTTTATTAGATATGTCATTTGCAAATATCTTCTCCCCTGCCTACCCCCCCAATTGTAACTAATCTTTATTTCAGGGTAATACATGTCCATATTTTAAGGAGCCTAATAGCACTACTGAATTTACAACTGGAAACAGTGGTCCACATCTTTGAATGCAGCTCCTCGGACAGAGCCACCTCCTAATCTGTCACCTGTTACCTCTGGCTTGTGCCTCCATGTTTTTAAATAATCAGCTAATGCCGAATCTCTCTCTTTTTTTTAAGATTTTATTTATTTAGAGAGAGAGCGCATGTGCGCAAGCAGGGGGAGGGGCAGAGGGCGAGAAAGAGAATCTCAAGCAGACTCCGCACTGAGTACAGAGCCCCATGTGGGGCTTGAACCCATGACTCTGAGATCATGCATGACCTGAGCAGAAATCAAGAGTTGGATGCTCAACCGACTGAGCCACCCAGGTGCCCCTAACACCAAAATTTCTTAAATTACCAACTTAAGGCATAATCTACTGATTTCTTAATTTGCAAGGTGAAGATTTAGTACTTCACTAATCCCGCCTCACCCCTGACCCACCTATATTTAGCAGTTATTTTTAAATTTCTGATTAAATTGAGAATTAGCAAATAAATTATTACAGCCATATAAATATTCTTTCCTACTGAGTCAAGTAATATATTATGATTTTATTTCTGTTTTCAAAATTTTCTTGTTCTTGGAGTTAATAGTAACCTTATATTTTAAAATTTCCTTAGTTATCCGGATACTGTCATTAATTCTTGAACTTGCCAATGGAATATACTTTCCCACCAGCCCTATTTTCCACATACATCAGGTTTCCTTCCAGTTAAATATTGTTCCTGGCTGGGTCTCCCCTGGAACCCCATCTTCCTGCTCCCAGCCAGCCAGGAGCTCCCTAGGCTCTGCCTGGACATCAAGCCGGGGCTGCCCTTCACCGGAAATCCTTCTGTCTTGAGTTGGGGTCCCCTGTTTCCTAACCCTATGTATTTTTTCCTGGATGAATAACTTACTCATTTTGGTGGAGTACCTTCAGAGAAGTGGTGCATGAGATGTAAAAATTTTTTGTGCAAATGGCTGTATTCTACCCTCAGACTTAGTTGATAGTTTGGCTGGGCATAAGCTTTTCCTTTAGAATTTTCAAGGCATTGCTCCTTTGACGTCTGGCTTCCCATGTTCACATTTGGAATATCTGAGGCCACCGTGACTTCTAATTTTTTTCTATGATCTATTTCTAGGGATCTTCTCTTTATCCCTTTACAGGGGAAGATATGTTGAGCAACCACTAGATAGTAGACATTTTATTGGAAGCTTTACATGCACTCACCTTGTTCAGTCCTCACCAAAGATAAACAAACAAACCTGAAATAGAAATTACTTTATCTCTTTTCTAATAAGGTAAATGAGACTCGGAGAAGGTGAGGGAATTACCCAAAACATGGGGCCTGTCATAGATTATCTCACGGAAATTTCTCCTATCATGTCTCTATCATGTGTCCTACCTGATTGTCTGTGGGCCCTGCTTCTCACGGTCACTCATGGACCCCAGTTCCTGAGGCTGTAACTAAGCATGTGCTTCCATGATTAATGCAGCAGCAGGAAGGGAAATGACAAATCTCATAATGGTCTCACAGCTTCTGCCTGAAGGTTTCATTGGCCAAAACCTGTCGCATGCTATACCTTACTTTGAAAGGCAGTAGAAGTATTTCCATGGGAGAATTCCTTCCTGGCATTTTTCCAGAAATGCTTATGTGGTTTTGTTTTTGTTTTTGTTTTTCCAAATCTCAAGTCCCAGTAATATTTAGCCAAGAAATTGGGAAAACAGGAAAAAGTCGTGATCCTCCTGTGATATTAAAAACAGAAGAATCCACATAGAGATGTTACTGGTTCAGAGGACTGACTTGTGTCAAGTTAAAAGCAAGACCAAGAAAACACTAATGCACAGAATCAAAGGTTAAGGTGACTTTTCCAGGAACCAGGACAGTGGCACCCTGGAAGCCGGGAGCATCTAATGAGTCAGTCTTGCTAGCTAGTATTGTTGTGTTATGTGTGTTCAGGGCCCTGGCTGCTACATGAGTCATTCTTACAAATAAAATAAATATCAATAAGTTATGCATAGTAGACCTCATACAAGTCCTATGAGTTATGTTGGAAGAAATCAGGTTTGGAAACAAAATATATCCTTAAATTGGCAATTTCAACACATGCTCCTATTTAGTGCTGTTAACTTTGGTAGGAGATCTGACTGTTATGTTACTGGAACACAACCCAGTAACGTTCACTGGTGTTTTCCAGTGTTTGAGTGTTCCCTCCAGGCTACAGGTCTTTGTAAACACTTTAATGGAAGAAATGCAAAGAGCAGATGATGTGAATATTGTGGAATACTCTGACGGGAAATTAGAAACTGAACAAAAATCTGAATTAGTAAAAGCAGTATCAATTTCAACAGCAAAATCAAAGCCAAGGCAAGAAGACAAGAAAAATAAATATTTTTAATTTTCGTCATTAAAAAAGGAAATAAGCTTATAGGAAGCTATATGTACTCTAAAGCTCAACTCAAAGGTGCTTTTGGCTGCACTCCTAACATTTGAACGAATGTCAAGGCAGAAAAGGAAATTGGTCAGGAGTTAATGCCTTGTGTGTTTTAAATTTTCATTTTAATAATAATACCTTATAGAAATATTTGTTGCAGGGCGCCTGGGTGGCTCAGTTGGTTGGGCGACTGCCTTCGGCTCAGGTCATGATCCTGGAGTCCCTGGATCGAGTCCCGCATCGGGCTCCCTGCTCGGCGGGGAGTCTGCTTCTCCCTCTGCCCCTCCCCCCTCTCATGTGCTCTCTCTCATTCTCTCACTCAAATAAATAAAATCTTTAAAAAAAAAAAAAAAGAAATATTTGTTGCAGCTACATTCCATTTTTATAACAATTTTTGACATTTATCTTGTGTCTCTTTTCCCTTCTTTTAATATGTTCTCTTGTCAAATGTCTACATAAGGAAAAGATTATTTTTATGTGTTATTGAAACATATAATCTTATCATAAGAAACTGATTCATAATAATAAACCATGCACTTATTATTTTTAAAAAATATTCATTTATTTGAGAGAGAGAGAGAGCACAAGCAGGGGGAGCAGCAGAGGGAGAGGGAGAAACAGGCTCCTTGCTGAGCAGGGAGCCCGACACAGGGCTCCATCCCAGGACCCTGGGATCATGAGCCGAAGGCAGATGCTTAACTGACTGAGCCACCTAGGCGCCCTATTGTTATTTTTTAGTGAAAACCTCCAGCAGTGTGATCCTATTACAGAAAAATGACTTGATGGTCATTATGGTTACACATTATTTATTAAGTGTCATGAAAAATACAGAATAATTTATGGTTTCAGAATTCCTGGGAATTCTCATTTCTTACTCCCAAATCCCAAAGACTGATGCCTCTCAGGAATTTGGAAATACTAAACAGTGGGAGATAGAACTTACCAAGAACCTGAAATGACCATAGTTAGAAATATTTGGTGAATTGTACTAAATACCACCCAAATGAGGGAGAAAGAATCCAAATCTTTCTTATTCCAGGACTCATGTTTTGTCCTCTACCTGAAATTTCCTCTATTATCACTGGGTATTGATATTCATTCATTCATTCATCCATTCATCCATCCATCCATCCATCCAACAAGAATTTCCTGGACCCCATGTGTGCAGGAATCATACTGGTCTAGCACAGAGATGTTCAATCAGTATTTGTGTTGACTGCCCGATTACCAGGCACTGAAAGGTGCTCTAGCAAGAAACACTGGTTCTGAAGGAGTGACACATAGGATAGCCCCCTTTTGATGGGGAGTAGAAGGTAGAGTCAAGAGAACAACAGGGTAGCTGGAATGGAAAGTATGGAGGATGGCTGGTGGAGTCCCACTTAGTGCTGTAAGTACTCTTGAGACAAAGGGAGAGAAGGGGGAAAGTCCTGAAGTAAAGCCAGTGGGCTTCTGAGAGAAAGATGAGAGCTTGCCAAGACACAGGGCACACATGGACTTTGACATCTCCTAGTCCTGAATTCAAATCCTAATTCTGTGGTCGTGTCAAATTGCTAAAGTGCTTGGAGTCTTGGTTTTCCCATTTGGAATATAGGAACAACAATACTTAACCTCAAAGCGTATAATGAGAGTTAAATATATCTATATTTACTTAAAATACATCAAACTCTTGGTACAGCCATTGTAAATGCTCAGTGAGAGCTATTTATCATAGTTTATTATCATTTTGCCTGATCTGCAATATTCTTGAGAATTTTCAAATATTTATGAGTAATGTGCCATATAAAAATTTAGAAAGTTCTTCTAGAAATTTCATCAATGAATCAAGAGTTCTCGCCTCAAGGGAGACTATTTAAAATGTAGTCTGACTTCCTGGAGGAAAAAAAAAAAAAAAAAAGACCCGAGCTTTCATATTTCCTTTTGCATTCAGTGATGGGAAAGGTTTTTCTTAGCCTGTTTGTCCTGAAACCATGGATACAGCATAAAAATAAAAGAACGTGGCTGCCCTGGGATTTGAGATGCATGTGGTACTCAGAAAGCATAAATAAATATATCTGATATGTTTCCAATATCTTTTCTTTCAAGATAAATGTGGAACCCATCGCTCCTCCAGCCGGTTGCGGGGTCATGGCGCGCCCTCTGGTGGCCCGTCTATGAGCAAGCTTGAAGGAACTACCCCCTGGTGAGTACTTTTCTCTTCAACTAAGAAGGAGGATCCACAGTTTGGGGGCTGTTTTCTACAGCCAGAGTCCTGGAAATGGCTAGGTCAAATCTGTTTCCATGATTTTCTAAGGGAAGATTGCCTTGTGGATGAACATTGACGAGTTTTATTTTTTTCAAGAACACCTTCCGTATATATGTCACCTTATGCCTGTCTTGATCTGTCTGGCCAAAAGTGAGGCCAGTAAGTACGTAAGTTAGTAAGTAAGTAAGAGGTGGTGCCATGATGACAAATATTCCTGGCCAAGTGGGCTGTAGGGATACCATGGTAGGGAGTTGAGACATATCACTTTAACCAAATGACCCTTACTACAAAGGGGAGCTGCCGAAAGGTTTAATGACTGGGAAGGTGGAAGGGGCATGATCAAATTTATAGTGCAGAAAGGTCACTCTGGCTGAAGTGAGAAGAATGTATTGTAGCACACAAAATTTTGGAGATCAGAGGACAGTCAGGAGGAAATTGCAGAAGAGCGGGTATGAGACGATTATAGTCTGGACCAGGTGGTGCAACAGGGCTGGAGAGAAGAGGATGAATTCCTGGAGATGTTTGGAAGGTATCATTATGCAAGACTTGGCTGTTAATTAGATGTGGAGAGTAAGGAAGAGTCAGGAGTAGAGAATGTTTCCCAAATTTTTGGCTTGGGCAACAGGGTAGATGGTGGCAGTATTCAATGAAATTGGAACTGTGCGGGAGACCCAGCTTTCAGGGAGTGACCCCCTCAGAGGGGTTAAGTTTAGGACACGTTCAGGTAGAGGAACCTGTGGAATCTCCAGGTGGGGAATGCCAGGTCTCCTGCTCATCTGACTTTTAATCCAAGCTCTTTCCACTATGCTTGGCTGCCTCATCCTCCAGACATGGATCAAACTTTGGAATGGTGGGGAGTAGGTGCTCTCAGGAGCCTTTGATTTGCCCAAATGATTTGCCCTGGGTATCCCTTTTGGTCTTAGGGAAGGAATAATGGAGAAGGAACACAAGGAGGAAACCTCAATATTACAATATTCCTTTTTCGAAAAGCATCTACCCACCGTTGTAATACTGTGTAATACTGTAATTAATTCAGGCAAGGGTCATCAGTGGATGCTAAAACCAGTTTGTTCATAAACTCTCCACACAGTCTAAAAGTATCTCTCTAAAAAAAAGAGTTACGTTTAGAGTGAAGAAACCTGGTAACACCACCAATGTCCATTCACAGATTATTAATTATAAAAAGGAAGGATTTCTCGCGAGTGGAGAAATCATCCGGATCCTATTGAAGCCCATGATCAAAGTTAATGTCATCAGCAGTGGGACAAACTGATGAGGGTGACTCACAATGGGATGTGCTGAGAAGGACCCAGCATGTGCATAATTTGAACTCGTCCAAAGGAAACACCACACAAACCAAATTCAAAGGACGTGCTAGAAAACCATAGGTCTATACTCTTCAAGAATATCAGTACGATGAAAAGACAAAGTTGAGGAACTTTTCTGGAATAAAAGAGACTAAAGGAACATGACAACGGAGTGTAAATATGTGATTCTAGATTGGGAAAACATGTTATAAAGGGAAATATCAGAGAGACTGGCAAAATTTGAATATGATCACGTTCAGTAATAGTATCGTATCAATGTTGAATGTCCTCACTCTGATCATTATACGGTGCCCTTGTTCTTAGGAGACATCTGCCCACATGTTTATGTGGAAAGGGTCAGGATGTCTGCAATTTACCTCAAACATTTCCTGTCTCAGTCCATGCAGGCAACTGTAACAAAATACCACAGACAGGGTGACTTTTAAACAGCAGAAATTGATTTCTCCTCGTTCTGGACGGTGGAAGTTCAAGATCATTGATCACTGTGCCAGCATGGTTGGGTGAGGCCCCTTCCAGGTAGCAGACTTCTTCTTATACCCTTACGTGGCAGATGGGCTGGGGAGCTCTGTAGGGTCTCTTTCATAAAGGCAGTACTCCTCATCATTAGTGCTCTGTCTTCATCACCTAATACTTCCCAAAGGCCTCACCTCCTCATAACATCCCACTGGAGGTTTGAATTTCAACACATGAATTGGGGAGTGGGGCACAAACATTCAGCCTATGGCAGTTCCTGACAATAGTATTAATATGTGGGGTGCCTGGGTGGCTCAGTCGGTTAAGCATCTGCCTTCAGCTCAGGTCTTGATCTCAGGGTCCTGGGATTGAGATCTGCTTCTCCCTCCCTCTCTGCCCCTCCCCTCTTGTGCTCATGCTCTCTGTCTTAAATACATAAAAAATAATAATATTAGTATGTATATATGTATATAGAGACATAAAGCAATAATGATAAAATATTAATAACTGGTGAATTAAGAGAATATAATGTTCCAAGTACTCTTTTTGCACTGTTTCTGTGGCTTATTTTTTTTTCCCAAGATTAAAAAAAGAGAAGTCTACCCAACCCATACACAAGTAGAGGGGATTCTGAACACAGAAATTGAACCAGTGTGGCTTTTTTTAAAGTCAAATACAGTAATATTATCTTTTATAGCCACTAAGTTCCATCTTGATGAAATGTCAAAATAGGAAACAGATGAAGGAGTAATTTCCTGTGCTGCCAGGCTCTTAAGAATGTACAGTATTTGCTGTCAATCTAGAACCTGCAGGGTTTAGAGAGGAATTTGTTGTCTTTTAAATCGAGACACCTCGACTGAAAGCTCCCGAGGGCCAAAGAGCAGCCAAATAAAGCATGCGCTGCCCCGGGCAGGTGTCCTTGTCCTCCAGCCACGGGGCCGTGGGCGGCCTCCGGAACCAGGCAGGTTGCAATCGAACCGGCTGTTCCTGCTTGTGGGGCAGGGAAGAGGGGAGAGCAGGGGCTCTTCCTGGATCTTTCTCACTGCCCAGGTGAGCTGGCGCAGGAAGTCAGGGAATCAGAGCGCTGAAATGGATCTTGGAAAGCGTCCAGGCCATCTCTCTGCTGCCCATCTGTGGCTTCAGTCTCCTCTACACCATCCCAACCGACTGGTCAGCCAACCTCGGTCATAGCCGGTGACTCAAAGCCCCAGACAGCCCCACGGTTTTCAAAAAGCTTGAGTCGTTTGAACGTCATTTCTCTTAAAAAGAGGTATCGGAACAAAATGTCTACTTCAATTTTTCAAGGCAGCTAGTAAAAAATTTTTTATGTAAACGATGTCAAAACAGGTTAACTAAAATTGACTTACAGTCAATAAACCCCTATTGACTGTCTATTTCAGATCCTTCCGCAAGGCATCTCTGGTTAATATCATTCAGAAATAAGAGAAATTTACATATCAGGGCGCTTCTTCGTAGCCTCCTGAGACATGCCCATTTTATGAGTATATTTTTTAATAAAAGAAAAATAGGCAAAGCAAAACTCTATGTACACATAGAGTATGCATGCGTACCCTGTATGGATAGCATGTTTGCACGTGCAGAGGTAGGAATGGGGGAGGGTACGCAGGGCATTCCAGGGAGTGGGTGTGGGCGAGGGGAGGGGAACAGGAGAAAAGAGGAAAGCTTTTGCTTTCCGCCGTATATGTGTTGTTACTGTTTAAATATTTTTTTAACGAAGAGCATGTGCTATTTTTATCATTAAAACACGTTTCTCAAAAAATTCTTAAAAACGATGAGAAAGAGAAATCACCTAAATGAGCTGAAATCTGATTGCCTGGAGTTTGCATTTTGTACTACCCTGCGGGTAACTCACAATAAGCCTGTTCCTTCTTGCACGTGGCAGCAAGTCAACTATGTGATGCCACCCCTTGGGGCCCTCATGTTTCTCTTCTCCAAGCTCTGTGTTCCCATTTCCTTCAGCTGTCGATCAGTTGACAAGGTTTCAAGTCTCCTTGACTTCCTGTCACCCGCCACTGAGCTAAAGCATATCAAGTGGGCTCAGAGAGAAATCCATTCAGAAGTCAAATGGCAGCTGGTCACCTGTTGAAAATTAGCAAGCCTGTGGTTCCCTGTGTTTGTGCACTAACTTGGCCTAACTTTGTGGGGTCTTGGGTGCTCTATCAAGAGATGCATCAGTGATGGACAAAAGCAGGTCTGCAGGGCCCTCATTATCAATACCACCACAAGCTCCAACAGCACTTAGAAAACCTGGCCAATTTATCAATGCGAACTCAGGACAAGAACAGTGGAGGTGTTGCATGATATCCTGGTCAATCTTATCCAGAATAAAACCTGTGTCAGAGCTTGAAGTTCTGTGTTCATTTATCATTGGAGTGACCATACCTTCTGCTCGCCCAGTTGAGTCCTGATTTAACGCTAATTTGTCCTGGCATAATGCTTAATAATGTCCCTTTTACTCTTAAAAGTAGTGCAATTTGGATGATGAGATATATGGTCACCCACTTATCACATATCGTGATAATAATACCTCCTTCACATGGAGATTAACATTAGAAAAGGAATCACGTACTGCATGGAGCATTGGGTGTTATACGAAAACAATCGATCGTGGATCACCACATCAAAAGCTAATGATGTATGGTGACTAACATAACATAATAAAATTATAAAAAATAATAAATAAATAAATAAAAGGAATTTCTCCCTGGCTTCAGCAACATCCAATGCATTTGTGAATCTTTCAGATCCATAGATGCCAAATTTCAGGAAATGAGACCGCTTCCTCTCTGAGGTTATATAACCACCTCTGAAATGGTGCCCCCCTCCCCAACTTTTTTCTGGGGAGCCAAGAACTAGATTCCATGAGACAACTGATTTCAACTGGTTAGCTTTCCCAGCCCACTGAGCAATAAGCATTCCCTTGATACTCCATCCCCACCTCACCCACCCAGGAAAATGTCTTCCCCCAGGAATCAGGAGCATTAACTATGGTATAGCCAAGAGGTGCACGTGATGTCAGTCTATACCAAAGATGAGAGCACATAACAAAGTGGTCCAGAGTACTGACTCTGCTGTTTACTTTGGCAGGTGTCTTAACTACTCTGTGCCTCAGCTTCACCATCTGTAAAGTGAGGT